AGTATATATAATTTTAGGTATAGAACAAGTTTTATTAGAGCAAGAAGTAAGGTTATCTTAATAAAAAATTAATAAAAATGAACTTTTGTTTAGGACGGGTTTGTGAAAAGTTTTGTACTAGGGATCTATATTAATAAAGTTAATATATGCAAAAAAATTCTTATATATGAAAATTTATTTGTTTATAAAGTTGATATTAATTGGTTTAGCTCACTTCACTGATGCTCATTTTATAGAAATAACATTTCACTGACAACAATTCACCGACATGTTATTTCACTGACATTTATTTTCTAGTTCAACAACAGTTTATTTCACCAAAACTTATTTTACTGACAAATTAATTCTGGTCATTGTCGTTAAGGCCAGGTTAGAATTAAAATTAAGGTTAGTGAAATTTATAAAAAAAATTTGTCTATGAAATAAGCTTCTGTGAAATAAATTGTTAGTAAAATAAACTTGTCTGCGAAATAAATGTTGGTAAAATAAACATGTCGGTGAATTATTGTCAGTAAAATGTTGGTGAAGTGATATGTATCTATATTAATGGGGGTAAACTGTATATATATTATAGGAGTTAGTGTACTCTAACTTTGAGTAAAAATTCTCTTCGAACTAGAAAAATTAAGAATCAAAACTTTGCAATTTAATAAAAAATGGTCAAACTATATTTTTGTCTTAATAAGTAATAGTCGAATAGTTTCACAGAAAAAACCTTTTGTGAAAGCAAAATTTCTATATAAAATCGAATAATCAATATCTAAATTATCATATGAACATCATTTCGAACCTCTGTAAAAGGACATGTCTTGTGACTAATATAGCTAATTAGATTTTAATAATCAAATTATATTATACAGGTTAATAATCTAATATTTAAAGCTGCAATTTGACTAGCTTTTTTTAAATACAAATATACTTGCTGCCCAAATTCCAAATTATGAATCCTAATTCCAAATTTTAAATCCACTATCAAAATCTTAAAAGTCAAAAATAAAACAAGTCAAAAATTAATTCCAAATCCTAAATTAGATACAAATCTAAAATTAGATACAAATCCAAAATTAATATTTCACTATGTTTTTTCTGTTTTTTTTTGTTCTTTTTGATTTTACTTGTCATATAGAAAGATTCCAAGTATTAGAAAAACTACTTTTTAAAATATTATAAAATTCCTGTGAATGATAAGGAGTGTCGGGTGAAATTGCTGAGGAATAAAAAGACTTCATGATGATGAAATTATATATATCATAGCAAAAAAAATGTATTGATTATAAAAATTTCAACTACAAATTATCAAATTTAAAAGCTTGAGTTTTGACATTTTTTGCATGTTCGAAATCAAGTTCAAATACTGATATTTAATCACCAAAAATATCTATATAAATGCTAGTTAAAACCAGATATCTACTTAACAATATAATTCACTATTATAAACTAAATGAAAAGAGATTATGAAAATACTCCATATCTAATAATAGTTTCTGAATGAGATTTACTAAAATTTTTTAATAAATTATATTTGGCTACATTTAGTTTAGTATTTATAAATCGCTTTAGGTTTACTATTGAATTATATATAATAATATATAGTATTGATAGTAAATAAAAAATTTATGTCAACATAGAACGGATTTTTTAACAAATCAAATGAATTTTTGCAAATAAAATGATCTTTCCGTACGCCGCTATGTTCGGGACAATTAGTTAACATAACATGACATGTGTTCATATGTCACGTTAAAATTGTGATCGAACACAAGCTTTCTCATGTCAAAAAAAAACCAAATAAATTAAGCATTTCGTTCAGGAGTTAAATGAAAACAGGCAAAAAGATAGAAATATCTAATAAGCATTGTAATACCTTACTCGTTATTGAGAATATTGGTCTCTACAATTTCCGTGTTGTAGTACATGAAAACATTTTTTTTTTTTAAAAAAAAAAAAAAAAAAGACAACGTAGACAAGAAACTTCAGAAATATGTTATGCCACTATTCACTTAAATGGTAAATAAGGCGCATAAATTTATTATTTCATTCAATTATGTGCAAAAATCTTATACAAAAAGAATAAAAACACTCCAAAAAAAGGAGTGACTTTGAAAACACTCCCGTAGATTGTAATAACAGGTAATTATTTTATCGTACGAGACTATATTTTCTAAGCTATTATAAATATGTAAGGTTAACAAAGAACAAAAAGTCTATATACATACACGAATTATTATTAATATTTACGCATATGCCAGATTGAAACATCAAACCATTATTGTAATTATAAAAAAATGATTTCTTGAAGTTTTTTTGGAGAATTTAAACATAGCTTATGACAAGAACGACCAACTGCACTTCATGCGTCCCACCGAAGGTTTGGCGAGTTTATTAAATGCTGACGGGCTTAAATCAACATCTTCTGCAGAACATCCTTCACATAGATCCACAACCGTGACTGTGACTGATTTCTTACCACAAGTTATTTTAAGTTTTCTACCGCAGTTTTTATTCTTGTTTGAATTGCCACCAGGTGAAGAACCGAACAGATCACGTGACAATGCACAAATCTTATCACTGTTCGAATTAGTTTTACCACATGCGCCAAGGCCTACATCATAAAATGTAATATCTCCAGAGTTTCGTTTTACGAGGTTGGTAGTAGTATTATCTCTAGGTACTAGCTCAAAACCCAGATGATCCAATCCATTGGCAGTACTAATATCAGAGAAGTATGCAATAATGCACAAAGAAATCGTCATAAGAAAAAAAAACCGAGTGTATAATAAATTTGAGGTCATTTTATTTTTATTTTATTTTTTTTGGAGAGTTGTAAATAATAAATAATAATTAATAATACTAACGGTTTTTTTTCTGTAGAAAGTAGAGAAAATGCTTGGCCTTTATATGCGTATGGACGATAAAATTTTTAAATACGGTGATCGCTGTAGTACGCGCTTTATCATCATTTTAGGTAGAAGCATTAAGGAGAAATTATGTATATTATGCTTCTACATACGGTATTACACTCGATTGGATTTAGGGACATCAAACTTACAAATTTTGTTTCGCCTTTCGCAAAATGTTCCAGAAACGAAAGATCATATTTGAACAAAATGCATTATTTATGTTAGGATGAAAAAATATTTTTTTATAGAGGCTTCTTAGTGAAGAAAGATACAAATCATAACTAAATGATAGAACAGTAGAATCAATATATCTGATATATATACTGTATATACATTAACTAAGCCCCCTAAATCAATTTTCAGGATCGTCATTCAAGCGATACAATATAAGCATTTATAAACAATGCATGTAGAATTAGATTAATATCTTAAATTTTTGTTACCATATAACGATAATTAATTAAAAGCTGCAATCGATTTTTAGCCGGTATGCGCATGTCAGGAGGTCGGACAAACAATAGTGTTTATGAATAATGGGAGTGTATGCATACATCGATATGTCAAACCTAATAATATGTGTATCTTTTAAATTGTACTTTTTTCTTATCATTTTATATTCACATTTATAATAGGATTGGGAAGAATTGCCTTTAGATACAGTAACATTTATCGGCATTAAGTTTACGTCTTGGTATAAAAAATTTAAATCAAGTTGACAATTTTTTTTTTTTGAAAAGTTTCATATAACGATAAGGAAAAAAATACTTGTTAGTATCCCAAATTTGGATACCCCGCCCTTTCCGTGCATCGTCTTATTTTCTTTATTTAAATTTATTAACTACAGAACCACGAAAATGAAAAAATTAAACACAACATCATGTAATATAATTTGCATGTATTTCTGCATATGCATCCAAATTTTTTTGTTTTTTTTCCTGATATATTGACTTTAAATATTATATTCCGGATAACCTTTAAAAATTTAAAACCTTTTTATCGGCTGTTTTTTTCACACACATTGCTAACATTTAAACAAATACGAACTCCAGACCTTTTATGAAAATTTTTTATTGGGTATTTAAGAATGTAATCTTAAAAAATTTTAACTAATAGACTCCAAAAAAAAAAAAAAAAAAAAAAAAAACTGAATAATCTTTCAATAAAAATTCTACATTGTTTCTACATGTGGTACAGCGAATCAGACTATTAGCATTATATGTCTTTCTTTAATGAACGTACGTACGCACTTACGTTCGATGAATAGATTAACGCTAAACCCTTTTTTCTCATTTAAAAAATTTGGCACACATATCGCATATTTATTTATATTATGAGCAGGATCTAGCACCTACGTATGTATGTACTACATTTAACATTTCTATATCAGATATATATTAATATAATTAGTATTACGAACTTGAGGGGTTTTCTCGCTCGAACTTTTTGAAAAACAGTGATTACATCGGTCAATTAGGTAAAATATAGTACAAAATATTATTTCTAATGCGTGATTTGATTTGCAACCCAAAAACATACATACGTACAGTAGTCCCCAAAAGTAACGCCCGATGTTTTTTTTATAGTAAAACATATAAAAGATTGAAATTTACTAACCACATTAAAAAAATTTTTGTTAATAAAAAAAATATTAACTTTTATATATTATATAAATTCAATATTTGTATTCTATCCCTTAAACTGTTTTCCAGGCAAATTTGCCTGGAATTTTCATATCACATGATTAATTTTTTTATAGTGCCGAAT